TTAGCCGAGCACAGGAGCCTTTCAATTAGAAAGTAGTTTGTAAAACCCGAAGTAGCTCAAAGTGTCCTCCCTGACATGGATTATCTGGTCACCCTATCTAAATATACGTTACAGCAGGACAGCACCATACCGTACCTTCTGCTCGGTGTCTCCTCCATCGATCGCAGATGGCTGCTGTGACTTTTTTGTAGCTGCGCGAAACTGTTTCCATGACGACGTAAATCCGAACCCTTGCTACTGCACCTTCCGAAAGCACAACGTAACATCGATGCAAAATGATTTCATCCCGAGTACGCTTGTTTCACATTACAGCAAGCGTAAATTCATTCAGCATGTGAATGTTCACCAAGTACTTCTTCACCCGGCTTTCTCACGCAAAGCGAGAATGTCTATATGCTGAAGGAGCATGTTAATAAAGACCTAAATAACGCCCCATACAATATTCATTATTATATTTGTTTACTAGACTCTCGACTGCTTCAATATGGCGGACGCGCAGATACATGTAAGGGTAGCGCCAGCGCGCATGCGCGGCCAATGACGTCCGATAGTTGCTCTTTGGGCGACGCCGTAAAGTGTAATGCGGCGCACGTATGCGCAGACGTGCGAGCTAAAAATCCGACAGAAGCTGCCAGTCAGTTAGTGACAAGACTGTTTAGGTATAATTTTCGCTCACCAGAAACTGGATCTATATCTCAAATTTAAAAAGGTATTTTTTGAAAAGCAAATGGAAAATACGAATAGTTCTCCAGATCAACCCAATATAAATAATAGTGGTAAGTTTGTAAATTGGTGTTTTAAGAATTAGTGAAAGTACTTTGAAAAGCCACGAATTGTGCACAGTGAAACTTTAGATAATTTTTTTATTCTCCGTTTTGCGCCTTGAATAAATTTTAATTAGTATAAATATGACTTTTTGATGCTATTCTATACAATAATTGATTATCGATTCCTATTTGCATGTTCGGCATGTTTACGAAGTTTTGTGTAATCGAACAGAGATAAGTCTAAAAATAACTTGCCATTGTATCACCCACCGAAACCGGTAAATATGGTCACAATTGGCAGGTTTTAAAATTATATTATGGAGGGATTTTTACTATTGAAGGTTAACCTGTGCTAATATTTTAAAATTGACCACAATATTTGTTGTTATAATTAAGCCGGCAGGAAGTTTTTACCGAAAAAAAATTTCAGACTATAATCAATTATGAAATCCATATATTTTGTTTATGATTTGAGGCGTTGTCATTTTTTTTGTGTAATATTTTAGAAATTGTGCTGTAAATCCGAGTGCAATTATAATACATTAAAACTTGGGTTCGAGTCTCCCATTAGTGTGTTGCGTGTTCTCCCCGTGTCATCTTGGGGTTTCCTCTGCGTAGTCCGGTTTCCCCCCACAGTCCAAAAACATGCTGAGGTTAACTGGAGTTGCCAAATTGCCCATAGGTCTGCTTGTGTGTGTGAATGGTGTTTGAGTGTGCCTTGAAATGAGTTGGCGCCCCATTCTGGGTTATTCCCTGCTTTGCACCCAAGGCCTCCAGAATAGGCTCTAGACCCCCCCCCCCCCCCCCCAAAAAAAAAAAAACAACCACAAATGTGATAAGCAGTTACAGAAAATGGAAGGATGGATGCTATTTTTGCCCCTGATGTCACTTAAAAACATAGCCTATATGTAGTTTTTTCCCCCTCAATTGAAACATTTTGCTGCAGACCCGTTGACAGTCCCTGATGATGTAGCTTCAGAATACTTAAGTACATTGTGATTAACAAGTGAGTTTCAGTACTTGTTAGGTCGGAGTGGTTTTCAGAAACACTTAAATTGATGTTTACATTTTTTAGTGAAATTCCTCTAATAACAGTATATGTGATTAAAGAAGAGTAGTTTTAAGAAACAAATACTTAATAATAGGTGCCATTATGTTGATGCTGACTGTTGGGAACCAAATAGATTGCATTTCTCCAGAACATTCTGTTTTGTTTTTTCAGCTTCTCAATGGCATGTTCGTAATGATGATTTTGCTGAAGCATGAGGAGTATCAGTGTTAGTCATTGTCACACCTTTGCATTTTTCATGTTTTGTGTATTATCATTACACTCCATCAAGTTGATTCCTGCTAACCATGTACAGTTAGTCCTGCTACAACGTGAATATTGAGTTCCTAAAAAGCTTTTCGTTCACTAAAATTACATGCTAAAATACATTTATCAAATTGGAAAAAAAGGATTAGGTCAATATAACTCCAAAATTTAGTAATTTACGACAAACAAAATTAATTAAATAAACAGTGTGTTAATTAAACAGTGATGCCAGTGGGCAATAATGTAATAATAATGTAAAGAAACAATGTACAGGCTTACAAATAAGAAGTGGTAATAATAACGCCTTAATAAATTATATCATAAATATCTTCTATGGGTTTTATGAGTCTCATGAAAATTGCCTAGTAACTGCTTTACATGAACATGCTGAACTCACTAACTTGTTGAATACCGAGAGTCCAGAGTAGTGATGGCCAAATGCAGCTTCATGACCTCACTAGATGGTGCTCTTGCAATACTTTCAGGCATGCTTTGAGCCCCTTTTTTAAACAAAGATCGCCATCTAGTGGGGTCAGAAAATACAGCAAAAGTTTTATGAAGCTTTGTTTTGCCCATCATTAGTTGGGAGTAGTGAGCCACAGCCACCATGTGGCCTGGCATGCATACTGCTGAAACACCATGGATTACGATATGCGAAAGGGCACTGAAGGCAACATGGCTACAAACAGTCTACGAAAAGCAAATGTAAGTGAATTGAAAAAGTTTTTAAATCATAATTTTGTCAAATATTTTTACATTTTTAGAATCTAAGACTTTAACCTGTGCAATGTGTGGATGTACAAAAATGTTTAGATCTGTTCAGCATTATATTATTTATAGCTAGTGCTTGTCTTTGAAAATGTAGATTAGGTGTAATACAATTAGGTTTGTTAATAAATAAATAAATAAATAAATAAATAAGCACAATCCCTAAAATTTATCACAGTAATAATTACTAAAATCATGCCGGTTATGCAAACATGTCACCAAGCTAAATAATAATCAATAAAACATGTTTCTATGGAGCAAAATATATGGTTAGAATCAATAAAGCATGTTGCTATCAAGTTGAATACAGGCCTGTTAAGGATAGAGATTAACCATGTTTAACCATTGAAAACGTGAGTTCAGCCATCAATTCAATTTAATTTTATTTGTATAGCGCATTTTCACAACAAAGTTTCAACGTGCTTTATATTATCCCTGGCCAAAGCCCCTAGTGAGCAAGCCAGAGGTGACAGTGGCAAGAATAAACTTTCCAGTAGGAAGAAACCTTGGGAGGAACCAGACTCAAAGGAGGAGTCAGAATTCCAGGGGTAGGCAGAGGAAATCAAATGAACAAGATGCAAAATCCTAATTTACACAGTCCAAATTTTAAAATTTTTGTCTAAATATGGAGGGCAGGCAGGTGATGGTGCTGCATCTGGCAGCAGGATGAACGGTGATACATTAGCAGGAAAGGCAGGAGAGACATCACAAAAAGTAGGGCAGGTAGGCCAGAAGGAAGTCACAGGTAGTAGGGGTGTCACAGGTAACAGGGTCATCAGTCAAGATAAAATTACTTGTTCAGTACTATTTCTTCTTGTTTTGGGGAAATTAATTGGCATACTCTAAATGAAAGCCAAAAGTTAAACATACTTTGATTTGTACATACTGTCTTAAAACTGTAGGACGCAAGATGATTTTCTGAATAAGAACCAGGGCTGTGGAGTCGGTAGATAAATGCTCCGACTCCGACTCCTCAGTTTCTAAATCTTCCGACTCCCCGACTCCGACTCCTCTGTATGTATATACTATGCTAATGTATTTTCTACATCCATTGAAGGAAAGGAAGGCAACATACATGTCATTTCACCACAGGACTACTGGCTAGGAAGCCAACACTCTACTATAATGCCAGATTAAAGACAAACACAATGAAAACAAGGTTTTCACTAGCGCATAGCGGAGCCGACGGAGCTGAGAACACACCAGATGATTTTTCCGGCGTTTGACGCGTGATGACTCGTTGAACGGCCGAAAAATCGGCAGTGCATCTGTAAATGTAAGGGGGGCTTTAGGCTAGGTTCACAGTTCCCTGTAACAGTGGAACACGACACAATGGAAAGCGGTGCCGCACCTTACCTGTGCATTACATCCCATATAGTGACGCATACAGTCAATGAAAAGCATGCTTCATGGTTACTTGACATGTTCGTTTTGTGGTAACATTGTGCACTGCATGCTTTGGGCTTTATTCTTACAGCAGAGAAGTAGTTCATTATGACTGTTTGTGAATTGGGACATTTCAACTTACTTT